CCTGTGAAGGGTGGATAACTCAAAGACCAGAGGACATGTGAGCCAATTTTGTTCTTCTGCCCTTACATTCCACCAAACTGTCCGCCTTGGTGCTTAAATCCTGTTTTGGATCCAGTCCACAGGTATCTGGCATAATATCAGGTTTCACTAAGCAGTTTATTCTTGTTTTTAAGCCTACTGCTCAAATCAAAGAATTTCAGGTAAAATAAATTAACTGCTCCAGCAGGGAGCCACGACAGTTATCTTCATTCACAACAATGCCACGTATACATGGCAAACAGCCAACTGCTCTTGATGTACTTACGAATGCCAAGAAAACTTGGCCTTTAATAAGCTGTCTAATTAACTACTAGTCTTATGATGTACAGCTCAGTTTTCCGAAGTCATTCCTGTGCCAAAGCTTAAGTCTTGACATCTATTGCCTCCTGTGTAGCAAATGTGTTTCCTAGTCATTCTTCTATTTTGAAACTACTGTAACACAGATTAAGGGCCAGACTCTGCATTCCTTCTTTAGAAATATCAAGAAACACTTATTCTTCAAAGTTTCTGCCGCTACTTGGAGACAATTAAATGAATAGACAGATCTGAGTAAGCAATTAACTTTTTAAATAGAAGCCACACACCGGAGCAAAATAATCATTGGAAACTGATTTTAAGTATCATATGAGTCCCTGCTTTCTTCATGCTGTAGCTGGAGTATGAAAAGTTGAGGAGACCCACACAGATTTTTTTAGATTGCATCACTACAGCAGGGTCTGTTTTTAACCAAAAAAAATTATTTTCAAGGGAAATAAAAACTTTTAAAGTACTCCCAGAAACTTTACTTCATAAAAGTCTGAGACTGCTTTCCAAGACTGTCCAGAAAAACTAAAAAATGGCTATTGATGCTGGTAACAGATAATCCATGTCCAGTACAGCTACAGGAGATTTCAGTCAAAAGAAATTTTGCTTAGAAAGATTTAAAACGGTGGAAGTGTAAACAGGAGTGATTTTCGATATCGTCACTCGAAATCGTGCTGTTGGGAAGGACCATGTAGCTAGGGAATGGTGACTTGACCTGGTAGCAAACTTTTCAGAATATTTGTCTCAGAGATGCCACCTGATAGGCTTCAATTTTGTGTATAATATGTACTATGTGATGCTATGAGTAGAAATATATTGAAGTCCAAATCATGCAGAGGCAAGAGAAATAAAGCATAATTGAGGCTATAAGTTGAGAACATAACGGAGCTGAGTCTTCACTAATCTGCCTAAGTGATTATTGACAATGTCAGCATTACCTTACAAAATGCATCCTCATGCAGTTGTTGAGGGCTGAAGTCTGCAACGAAAACCAAAGGCTCAGCACATGCTCTCTGTTCAAAGCATAGCCAACACATGCCCTGCTCTACCAGCAGATGGGCAACCCGTAGACATCCCTCCAATAACAGCTTCATACAAAGAAGCTAATGCCAGAAAATACTCCCTGTCCTTGTTTCCAAGATCCTTCACAAGCCTCCTCCAGCACTGCCCAGCTGGGATTCGGTAGGCGGCCGCAGGGCTCCCCACGCCGCCTTGCTCAGACCACTGGGGAGGCAGCGCGGATGTGGTCACGGAGCTGGCTGAAGGGAATGGGGCTTTGCTGTATCACTGTCCGCCGCCTTGTGACCACAGTGTGGTCGCTCTCCTCTCTTCTCCTTTACGGGAATCATTGGTCCCACACCATCTGAGGACAGCTGTTTTCCAGCTGTTTGTGGGGTATTGGAGGAGCTAGGTAATTTTACAGATAAGCAATTTTCAGAATCACTTATCTTCTGCTGTGGGATTTCCTAGGAGCAACAATTAACTAATACAGCCCTTCAAGAAATTTATTTTATCTGACCTGAAGCTTTTTATAAAGAAAGCATAAAGCCTGCTTTGTTTTGTCTAAGGAACTGTTAAGCAGATGAACACTGCTTTGGAAGTTACTAGTAGGATGCTGAGATCACAGAATCGTAGAATAGTTTGGGTTGGAAGGGACCTTTAAAGGCCATCTAGTCCAATCCCCCTGCAGTGAGCAGGGACATCTTCAACTAGAGCAGGTTGCTCAGAGCCCCGTCCAACCTGACCTTGAATGTTTCCAGGGATGGGGCATCTACCTCCTCTCCAGATAACCTGTTCTGTGTATTTCACCATGGGTCATACGCTGGGAAATGATGAAAATGGAGGAACTGTGGTTTGATGAAGTGATGAGTTCTGAGGAAAACCCGGACATGTCATGTGGTAAAATGTCAATAACACGTAACATATGAAAAGTAACCAAACATTGCTATGTCCGTTAGTGCTTGCATACATACATAGCTATTTTCTTGATGTCTAATGAAGGTGGCGTAATGCAATCCTGTACTAACCAGCCAAGAGTCAGCAAGGCTGTTTATGGTTAACATCTCTGTTGTAATTTTCCATACTCCACACATCCCATCAGAAGTAACTCTAAGGAATTTTATGAGATTGTCTGCTTAGAAAGATTATATTCTTTTATTTATAGTTGTGTTATCAAATCTGGAGAATCATTGTGAGGTCTGGTTTCGTCTGCTGGTATAGCTTCATAGCCATGTCACTGGCATAGCTTCTTCTTGTATGTAAATGGAAATAAATCATGCACTGGCATAAGACATCTGTGTGCTGATATAATTGTGCCCATACTTGGAGCAGTACTGATGTAAGTATCTACGTAATAATAACACCCAAATACAAGAAAAGACCAAATGACACAGAATCTGCATGCAAAGACAGGGCCTTAAGTAATGTATTTTATACTATTCTTGGCACTATCAACCTGAGAGTAATTTAGACTTCCTCCAGTAAGCTGCTTCCTGTCTTATTTACATGCTTTTTTTTGGTTCTTGTTAAGAATTCCAGTTCAGCTCCTTGTGTGGATTCAGTTCAAATCGCACTGGTATAAAGGTATCTTTACTTCTTATGCAGCTTACACTCATTTATTTAGACCGATTATATCACCATGAAAAGGTATTTTTGTTGGTACTGTGCACATGCATTGCTTCTGAGTTTTGTTACTCATGCTGCTGAAGGTAAACCACTTAGAGTTACAGTTACGTAGAGTTTTACTATAATGTAAAATATACCCTTAGACTGAAAGGACGAGATTGGGAAGTGATACATAAAGGGCTAAATGGATACGAACAAAAGCAAAAGGAGTTCAAGTATTGCATCTTCCTTGTTGAATATGCCCCCGATGATAGACACTATAGTAACGTGACCTCACTTAGGGCCTCTTCCACCATTGGTCCAGAAATGCTGAAAATGGTATAAAGTTTATTCGCCTGAATAAAACTGGAAAAAATTGCATTTTTTTTAAAGTAGTTGAAAATGGGCATCCTTATCCTGTACCTTTCCATAACCTATGCAGAGCCAGAAGCAAAGTCTGGGGAGCTAATTGCATCTCAAGGTTGGGAGCCAGGGGCGTTAGAGAGAAAAATCCCTGCCTATTATCTGCATTGCTAGAGAATGGAAGTTTTTCTTAAACCATGGATTATACCTGTGAAAATTTGGGAATTGAAGTACTTTTGAACTTTATTCCTTCTATCCTTGTGAGCCTGTTTTGTTCATTGGTACTGCAGCATTTAAATCTTGACACTAAGTAGCACCAACAGTGCACTTACCAAAAAGAGTTCCCAGATACCTGGAAGCCAGAAGAACTGATCCGGAAATTCTTGTTCCATGTATATAATATTGCTATGTAATTTTAGCTTGAAAATTTCTTTTTAAAAAAAAATTACACTTTTTTGTAAAGAATTGCTCTGTCACAGTCTCTGTGAACTCAGTGTGTTTTTCTTTGACTTCAGTGGGATTTGAATCCTGTGCATTTTTCTGTTTGCCTAAATTTGAAACTGTCATAATCAGTGAACACTGTTGACCTGGAGCCTCATACAGGATATCTGTTATTCAGATGGATTAATTATGAAAGGCTTCATGAAAGAAAGTCATTATAAAAGGAGATCTCAAGGGAAGAAGAGAGGCTTAAAAATGAAGGGAAAAAAGGTACTCTTTGATCATTGTGATAATAACATTTGATAATACTGTCATGCCTTGAAAATGATATTTTCATTCAACAACAACGAAATGTCTAGGAGTGTTCCAAATGGCTTGGTACCTACTTTTTTTTCTCAATCAAAAAAGCATATACATGTACATTCAGACTAGTATTCTTCTAGTATTTTCAGTAGAAGCACTGAAAAGTTATTGCTGATGATGAAAATAGTATGTCTGACCAAAGCTACCTTCATCATTATCATTATCATTATCATCATTATCGTTATCATCCTGGAATGGAAAGAAAAAACTTAATGCTACCTGCATGTTTTTTGGAGACACCCCATATCTACAAGTAGGAAACATGTGATCAAGTTGTTGCACTAGTAAGTCTAGGGATTTTACACTCTGTCACATCACTAACTCTTTAAGCAAGCTCTGAGAATTGCTTAAATACTTGGTATATCGGGCAATACATTATTAAACATTGTACTACTTGACAGGTGTGAGATGAGGTTTAATATATAAAAATCTCATTTCTTTATGTGCAAGTATAAGACTTGCCTTTTGAAAAGAAAGGTGATCTTTGGTTCAAGGACTCATCAGGAGTCTGAAGCTTTTTCTTTGTGCCTTGGTTAACCTTCTGTAAATAAAGAAAATATTTCTTCTATTTTGATTGTTGTTGAAAAAATGCTTCTACAGCATGTATTTTGAGTACTTAACTCAATGCAAGTTTGAGCCTCTGTATGCATTGCAGAAATACAAATTTAAATAACAATAATTAATTATAGAATGTATACAAATCCTGTTGAAGTCAATGAAAATATTGCCACTAACTTTACTGCATTGACATCTTTAGGTGGAAGCTTATATTGATGTTTTTATCCAGGTTCTACTGTTTGCAAAGGGCTGGTGACTTTAACCTGTTGTTACCTATGGGTGTAAAACTTTATTTTAATGACTTTATTTTTTTTTTCCTTCCTGGGCAGGATTTATGTGGGCATCATTCATGCGATACTCTGGGAATGGCAGACGTTGGGACCATATGCTCTCCTGAGCGCAGCTGTGCAGTGATTGAAGATGATGGCCTCCATGCAGCTTTTACAGTGGCTCACGAAATTGGTATGCAGTGCCTTTTCTGTTCGCTTGCCAAATCAAACACTTGTAACAGCTGCATTAGTAACCAAAATACTCTGCGATTAATTCCAGATTTCCCCTGGTCCAGATACTCACTTGGGGATTAAGGCTGTATACATATGCACTTCAGGGTTAACTAATAAGGGATCAGAAAGCAAGTGAAGGCTCACAGTAGGTGTTTCCTTTCTGACAGTGTCATTTCTAAGCAGTAGTTGAAGTGAAAATTCAAAGGCTGCTGCTACTGTCCAAAGATGTCAATACATGTCCCTCCTCAGAAAGCATTCGGCTCATCTACCGTAATTTGCAAGCATTTAGTGCATACACAGTGGAAAACAACTCACCTTTTTGAACTGCTTGCATGCTCTGTTGTTACGAAACTTTTTCTTGGGACGATGCATTACCTGCAGAGAAGCCTTTTGTGGAAAAAGCAGAATTCTAGTATTTGTCCGAGTGTACTGAATTTCCACCTTTATGGTAAAATATGATGCTAATGTGAATCCTAAAATAAGTGAAATAGTATTTAGGTGATAAAGGTTTGGTCAAAAAACTGTTTAACTTTCAGTTTCCACCTCAGTGGACAGCAATTTAATTTAGGAGCCTTACATATATCCTTCAGAAGGATTTAAGATAGAATTAGATAGACAGAAGAAAGCTCATATTCTGGGACATTACATCTGTCATGGTAGATGAGAGACACTGCTGCCATCTTGATTATTTTTAGTTTACTAGTGTTTTGTGAGCTGTGTTCACTGGAAATACGTTTGGTATATGGGCTCTTCGCTTTGGTGAGTGAACAGCAATTTAAAAGTGGAGAATATTTTTTATTTTTAACATTCTTGGAAGGAAATAACAAGGAAAGGAGAACGTTCAGAGCGCGCCAGTTTCTGAATTGCCTTGTACCTCATGCCAAACCAAAGTAAAGTTTGCTTTGGGAGTATCATTGCAGTAGTTCAATTTTCAAGTAACTAGCAGGTAGAGGCCAAGAGCTGTGTGCCTTATATATACCTGGCTCAGCAACCAGAGGTCACCAAGAATGAAAAAGCAGCTGGCATGTCAGTGGCCTGACCCTTCAACGATTAGTGAACCTAACCCTACTGCTCTTACGGTGCCACAAAGAAATTAAATCAGTAGTGGCTGGAGAGAAGTCATGTGTTGCATGAAAACATAAAGTGTCGTGGCAGAATGAGTCTCCAAACTAGAAATTTTATTTTAATAAACAAGAATATAAGTGCAAAAGAAAAAACCCTCTGAAATCACTAATTCAGAACATTTGTAGATAAGCAAGGCAGTACATCAAATACAGCTTCACATCAGAGAAGTTTAATGACTGGATGCTGTGAAGCTAATGACCCATCACGAACCCGGTGTAGACTGGGACAAGTAGATAGATTGGCAAACTTAGCCTATCACTGAAAGGCCAGTCTGCTAGAGGCAGTGCTTGTATGTCCTTGCATCCAGAAGTGACGCATATTGCTGAAGGTTAATAGGCATTGGTGAAGTTGGATGAGGGACCTTCTTTGGATGCCAGTATTGACGGCATCATCATTATCTGGTGTGTGAAGAGGTGAGTAATGTGTCCAGACTACCATTCTATCAGCAATAAATACATGTTTAGATAGATTAAAATTGAAAGAACATAGATCAATAAAGATAGGGATGAGCAGTAAATATACATACTGTTACTTTGAATTTCACACAAAGAAAGTGTAAAGGCAAGTGAATTATTTTTAGTGATCTAGAAGCATATTTTTGAAAAAAACATTTTCATACCTAGACGTTTACAGGAATCTGTAAAAGCTATAATTTTCAATGTAAAAAAAGCATGAATTGAAATTAAGAAATAAGTACCCTAATGGACCAAAAAACTGTAGTTTGAGGTTGTTTAAAATAACATCCCCTTTTTTTTCTCCTCACCATAAGATTTTAAGAAAGGAAGGGTGTCAAGTCACAGAATGATCTTTGTGTGTGTGGCCTAAAGTGGGAGAAGTTGAGAAGAAAACACAGCTAAAATTGCTTGAGTACTTACATTAAATTAAAGGTCAAAAAAAGATGAAAAATAAAAGTGTGGCATGGATACCCTTTAGTTAAGCACTTTGGGGAAAACCTTGCTTTATTTTATTTGGAGAGCAGATTTCTTCCTACAATTCAGAAGTCTTAAAGTTCCCCCTGCCCTGTGGGTAGGGTGTAGCTTTAATTTACAGCAGCTTAGTTATTCGGTGGAATTCACCTGGCAACGTAGGAGATGCCCTGCAAGGCAGAGGGGATGCTAAAGGCTCTAAGCCTAAGATGATTCTTTCTGTCAGAAGGAAGAGCAAGGTGAGCCACTAAGCGAATCAGAGTAATCATCTGCAGTTTTTTAAATAACCCTGCTGCATGCGTAGCAAATGCAGCATCATTAACATGGACTTGATCCGGAGAATGGCTGTGTGTCCTTACTTTGACTTCAAGGGGATCTGAATGCTCTTGTTTCCTCCCTGAAGGAACCAAGAGCATTTCTGAGGATCATATTCTTTCTCTGGAAGGCAACCAAAGTAAATGGAATTGCAGCTCAACCAAACACGACGATGCACAGCCCAGGGGCTCAGGTTGGATACGTGCACTGGCAGCCAAAAAGCAGCCTGCTACAGAATAAAGCCTGCCACTTGTGTTGCCAGGGCTTCTACTACATTATGTGTTAGATGTTTATTTGACTTCTTTCAGATAAAATAGATGGATTTTGACAAGTGGTTTTTGAGGGGGAGAATATGAACGAGCAGCAATAACAGACAGAATCTCCAGAGAACTGTGAACGAGAGCACAGAAAGAAATAGATGCAACCAAATTCTTAGTACAACTGATTAGCTGACAATACGAGATGGAGATCCATATATAAAGACTGATGAGGTAGGACATGAATCTTGTCCTACTTGTATGTAGGAAAATCAGAAATAATTTTTCTCCAATGTCAAATGCAGAAAATTAGAATGATGCAACAAAAAACAGGAGGAATCCTTGTAACTTTGAACATGATAATCCAGTTTCTCCTCAGAATAGAGGGGAGCAGTGCTAGTAGCATAAATGTTATTTTTAAATCATAGCCTTTTAAGACATCCAGCCACTAATAGTAAATCCATATATGGTTATTTTCTAGCAAGGGATGTGCTGCTATCAGTGTGGACAGCAGTAGCTTTGCTGTCACAAAAATCATCTTCTGTATTTTTGCCTGAAATCATCAGTTCAGCTCTGTGTTGTGGCATATGGATGTCTTTTTTGACTTGGAGCAACATCTTCAGCTATGCCTCCATAGCTTTGCAGGGATATCTCAGCTAGCTTAGGCACAGTATGTAGACATTCTCCAAGTCTTTGTTATCATCAGCCTATTGTCTGTTAAAAATATTATGTTTCCTTACTTCATGCACTTCCCTGCTTCACAGAGACATCAGGAGAAAAGCATTAAAGAACCTGTGATTGCTCATAATCTCAACATTTATTTAATATTTTTCATAGGTCAGCATTAGCATATTGCTTCTTCATATATCCCTTATTAAAATAATCATCATGAAACAAAAATAACTAGGTTCTCACTCTAATACTCTAGACTTTTGGGTTGGAGATTTTGTTGCTTTTACAGTGTTGAATTATAAGCCAGCCTATGCATCCCACGAAGATAAGCATGATCCAACATCACTAACAGACACAGTCAATGAATTTGAAGTTAGGTTTAACATCTCTTACAATGGGATATAGCCAGTACATGACAATTCCTTGTTTAGTAGCCTAGTGTTGCATTTTGTGATGCAGTCGCAGTCAGCAGTTTCTGCTGACTTTGGCTTCTCCTATGCTGGTGTCCTGCAGGCTTCAGTACAGACAGCCCACCATCCTAAAGGGTTTGTCATCTACAAAAACAAAATGAGAAATGTTCAAGAGAAAGTAAGTGGAGCTACTGCTTGTTTTATCAATAGGTAATATCCCAAAATCAGAAAGGAAGTCTCAAGGAAAGCCAAGGATTAAACTTGTCTCTTGAGTTTCAATCTAGTCCTTAAATACAAAAGCATCCTTCCTGCAGTCTTTAAGCAGGCAAAGCTCCAGTTTGGTTCAGTGAGAGTTACACGGGTCTAATAAATTATATGTATCTTTATTCTTTCCATCAATCTTGGCGAATTTTTCTTTTTTTTTAAGAGGCGATACAAAGAAAGCGCTGCCTTTTTGCTCAGTGGTAATGTTCATTTGACCTTTTGCAAAGTTCCTATTTCTCTTTTATGCAACCACGCTGGCATGCTATTACTCCTTCTATCCTCCTGAGTAATATGGTTTACTGATGTTCTTTCCAAGTATTTTATTTTTAGAATATAGCTTTAAAATTGCTACATGGAACTAATTAAACCTCTGTTCATTAGTTTTCTTTTATCTTTTACATGTGACTTTAGAGAAGGGAAGGCCAAAGGGGGGCATAAAAGCAGTGTTCAAATATATTTAAAAAATTCTTGCGAAAATTTGCGTAATAAATCATTCTCCGTGTCCACCTGGGACAGCACAAGGGTCAATAGCCTTAAGTTGCAGCAAGGGAGATTTACTTTAAGCATTAGCCAAAATCATCTAACCAGAAGGACAGTTAAGTGCGGGAATGAGTTGCTTGGGGAGGCTGTGAAATCTCCATTACTGGAGGTTCGCAGGACCTGGCTGACTAAAACAGCTGTGGCTTAGGGGACGCTGATCCTACCCTAGGGCGGAGGGATGCACAAGATGGCTTTTCAAGGTCTCCTCTCAGCCTCATTTTCCATGGTTATGAGAAGTTACCACAACTTCCTCCACAGCTATATTGTGTAACACCTAAAATGAAGGAACTATACAGAAACTAAAACTAGAAAATAACGTGTTTAATACCAAATATTCTTCAGCATGTTGTCATTCTGTGGCATCTGCTATCACTGAGGACAAAAATACCGCGAGCACTGTCAGCAAAGTGTAGTGCTTTGTTAGAGAGCGTAATATTATGTAAAGAAGTA